AAGAGGCCTACACCATGGGGTGGGACCTGTTGTAGATTTTATTTGGAAAAATTACTCCAATTTTTTTTAAAAAAATAATTATTGATTTATGAAATGATTTTATTTATTAAAATTATAATTTTTATTATTGATTTGAAATTATTTTTACAAACATACACTAAGTTGTTATTTTTCTATTTTATTTTGGTTATATAATTTGTTTTATGTATTAGTGTGTGACACGGGTAAGCTCATAAAGGATATAACTCACCACTTAGGGCCCAATACATAATTCAAATACTAAAGTCCAACGTTGCTGGAGCTCAACATGGCATTAAGAACCAATGACATCTAAACACGCGACAAGAGAAGGACAAGCCACATAAGCAGGCAAAGATCCTGCAAAGTTATTGCACTGCACATCAGCCATTAATGGAGTTCCTTACAGCATTTATTGCGATAACCTCTCTCCGTCGGAACAGAACGGCCTCACCATGAACAAGGTAAGCTTGGAGCTCAATGTGGCATTAAGAACCAATGACATCTAAACAAGTGACAAGAGAAGGACAAGCCACATAAGCAGACAAAGATCCTGCAAAGTTATTGCACTGCACATCAGCCATTAATGGAGTTCCTTACAACATTTATTGCGATAACCTCTCTCCGTCGGAACAGAACGGCCTCACCATGAACAAAGTAAGCTAGAGATAGACTTTCGGCCAAGGTGACAGGTCGGAAGGGACAACGAAATGATTAGCAGAGGATATAAGCAAGCATCGAAGACAAGGAGAAGGTTAAGTTTTTCTATCACTAATCTATCTCTACATTTCATCTCTCTTTCTAACTTGCTCGTCGGAGGGTTTGCTGGGGGACTCCCCGTTCTCCGTTGAACTCTTGTGCAGGTCTCTCTGTGGATTTGGTACCTCGGACACCGGTTTGGGAAGCGTGGATCAGTCCGACCCGTTCCATCTGGAACACTCTGTATTATCTGTGTGTAAGATTATTTTGTAAAAAAAAAGTTAATTGATTTGATAAATTTATCATAATTGTTTTTAAACACAATTACTGAAGGTAATTTCCTTTCATTCTATGTGGATTTTTTTTGCCAAATAAGAAAGTGGAAGCAAGAATGAGTTTTGGTTGTGTTTGGTAAAATTTTAGAATTATGATTTGAGAATAGAATTGTATTTTGAGTTTGTGAGTTTTGAAAATATAATTTGAGTGTGAAAAATTTGTTTGGTTATGAATTTTGAAAAGAGTTTGAATTGAATGATGTGACACATGATATTGAAAAATGAGTGTTTTGAGAAGTAGGTGTAGAATTAATTTTCTAAAACTGTAACTAAATAATACACTCAAACTAATGAATAAAATTAAACTTTAAAAGCTTTACCAAACAAAGTTCTCTGGTCGTGTTCTACTTGACTTTGCTTAATTATATTTTATTTATAGGTATATAATGGATTATTTGATTTTTTTTATTATAATAAAATTAAAATATTACACTTAATGTTTATTTTCACTCATTTTTTATGTTACATCTTTTAATTTTTATTAGTATTCTCATCCTTAAAATTACAAAATTAACTAAGCCCCTCTCCCAGCAATTGACAAAAACAATTGACAGTCTATTTTTTAAATTATATTTTCCGTGACAAATATAATGAAAATTATATTATTATAATTGTCAAATTAATCTTTTGTTTATATAGATATTATACACACAATAACTTAAAATTAAGCGAATCAAATTATTAAATTATTAAATTAAAACATAAACATCACGACTCGAACGACAAACTCATTCTATTGCCAAAAACAATTGCCAGTCTATTTTTTAAATTATATCAAATATAATGAAAATTATATTATTATAATTGTCAAATTAATCTTTTTTTTATATGGATATTATACACACAATAACTTAAAATTAAGTGAATCAAATTATTAAATTATTAAAGTAAAACATAAACATCATGACTCGAACAATACCATCAAATCCATTACTTGACTAGGTAAAAGTCGGATCCATAAATAATTATAATGATTTCCTTCAATTTATGTGATGGTAATGCGCAAGCATAATTTTGCCCGTCTATATTTATTTATATTTATACTTTGAAAATTTTTAAACAAGACCTAGAGTACGAAACATTGGAAAAAAAATTTGAATTTTATGTATCCTCAATTAAAAACAGACTATTTTAGTAATTTTTTAACTTTTTATAAAAAGATATTTAAAAAATAAAAAAATAATGCAACAATTTATAATGACTTTTTGATTTTTTAGTTAAAATTGAAAATAGCCAAACGAAACCTTAAATCCTAAACTTGTGCACAAATAAATCTAACTATATTTTCCATTGCCCTTGTAAACATTTTTTAAAGCGTACTTATTCAAAAAAAATTGCTTGTTTTTTAGAGAGAGCCAACCAGGGGTTAACATAGATGGCTTTGCCAATAATTGGCCCCTGTGAGCTCGAAAACTGCCCACAAACATCAGGCTGTGAGGTATTGTATTGAACACAACCCATGATTGCTGGATTCATTGAATATGAGAGAAACTGCGTGCTACGTGCCCCGAATCGACTATGTCAAATGGTTTCACTCTCAACCGTTAAATGGATCAGCTTGCGAAGAATCTGTAAAACGGATACTCAAAAGTACACAACACAAAATTGGACTCTTTTCATATTCTTCCTCATTTTTAATTAACCTGTACAGGAACAGGGAATTTCCGCTTGGCAATCAATTCCTCAGGCCACATAGAAGAGAAAACAAAACAAAAATTCCATAGACCTTTTGCTTTATAAATCCAAAAAATGAGTTTATGATCTGAAAACTCTCTTGTTTGCTCAGTTTTTGTTAGGAAAGAAAAAATAATACACAGGAAGAAATTTACAAATAACAAGAGACCTCTATGCAAGAATTTATATATTTTCTATTATGGTTCATTTGTTATTATATTTGGATATGCTACAAAACAGATGAACCACTCTGTTTCATTGAGCATTGACACCATTCTAAAACATAAAGAACAGGAATCCAACTGCAAAGACATTGAATACAATTGGAAGCCTGGAAGCATTGGGCACTAGTGCCATGGCTCTGGTAATATATTTCTCAGGAGTTCTAATCATGAATACCTACACAAAGCTCCAAAATCTCCATTAAATTGAATTTCCCAGAGTAAGTTCACCATAGAAGCCAATGATGCTTGCTTCCACAATGACACTAATGGTTGAAAAATTCTCACACCTAAATTTCAACATGCAAATTACATATTCTAATACAATCTTGGCCGTGTTTATTATGATGATGATGCAAACGTGAACCAATTTAAGGCTCCAATTTGAGTCAATTTTCCAGAAAACCCTCTAACATATGGGGGTGAAGAATTCTATTCAGAGTAAGTCCAGTCAACTTGAAGTACTCCAATGCATACTAAATATGCAATGTATATAAAGATGCCACTAAATACCTGATGCGAAAATGCTTAAACAACCCCAATTCCTGATTTGTGAAGAAATCAATGATAAAGCTAACTTTTTTTCCCAAGAACATGACAATTAACAGAATATAAGTGAATGATCCAATGAAAGCATACCTCCACTCAAGAATTTCCCAGCTCATCTCTCTAGCATGGAAGCATACCAATGTTTAAAGTCTGAACTATTTCAATATCTGCTGCACTCCATTGAAGTGGCTGACCAGCTCACAGGGGCCATTTAGATTGTTATCTGCTCTAATTGGTCCAACGATGAAAGCAGCTTTGCAATCATTTGACACCAAAAGCTTTAAAATATTGGTTGGAAAGAAATGATAGGATCTTTAACGAGGAGGAGGCAACAGAGGAAGCTTTGAGGGATAGGGTGAGACATATGGCATCAATTTGGGCTAGTATGTCTCCTCCTTTCAAGGACATACCCTTGTTTTTTATTTCTAGGAATAGGGCTGCTGTTTGACATGCTTTGTTTTACATTGTAGTTTTGGTTCTATGGTCTTTAGCTTTGTATTTTCTAACTTTGTAGGAGGACTTCTTGTCCTCCCTTTGCTTTCATCTTTCTCAAAAAAATTGTTTTGTTGCTGCTCAAAAAAAAAACAAAAAAAAAATCCTTAAAATTTTGGATCTCAAGAAAGTTACCTGTTTCTTTACACTCCTTTTTATAGGTCTCACACATGATTTCCACATTTGGCAAGAAGTTAGTTTTTATTCACTACTGTATATACGTGTGTACATACATTGTAACCCCTTCAAGTGCTTCTAGTTCTTTTATGATTACATATCCAGAGAATAACCTAGTTAAAAAGAAAATAAAGTAATGTAATGTATGCAGATAAGTGTAGTGCTTTAAAAATAATAATAAAAATGCATAGTGCTAATATGCATAATGCACCTGAAAATTCAATTAAGGTGTTTATTCCTCTTTGTATTTGACCTTCACGGCTTGAATTCATCTATTCCAAAGCCTTATCTAGGTAACATGTCATCAGTGCGCTACATCAAGAAGCCCATTTTTCTCCGAGCCTTTCCGATTATCAGAGTCAAAGAAAAACTTTCTTGGTCAATTTTCTATTAATGAAGCCAAATTGAAATTAGTTCTCTTCTCACGTCTCAATAGAAATATAAGAATTGCAAAAAGGTAGTGAGAAGAAGACACAATGGTGGATTATTTCTTTAGGCACATGGCCTGTTAGGAATCACATGGCAAACCCCCAGTGGTTGATTTAAGGCTTGATCGAGATGAATCCTCCTTCAACACCTCAATGATTGTAAAATCATACAGTTCATACATTTCAAAGGACAACTGCTACATTAAGTCCGAAAAATCAATGCAACTCTTAACACCTTCCTTGTCCTTCTAAATCAGCATCAACCTCCTTTTTCTCTATGAGTTTGCCTATGTTATTAACAACTAGTAGTATTAGTCTATGTTAAAACAACTAAAACCCATTACTCAATCCAGCTCTATCCAAGATAACGAGTAAATCTAGGATTAACAATTAGTAGTCTTGGTTCATGATAAACAACTAAAACCCATTATGCAATTCAACTCTATCCAAGAATACAAATGTCATATAGCTTCATGGACAGAAGAATACAATTCTCATATAATTCCATCCATACAAATTGTAAAGAACACTATAAACCAATCACTAAGGTTTACATTTAGTACGAAATCAACTCTATAAATGGACTCAAATCCATTATCAGGCATTAATAATACATCAATATTACCTCCTCAATGCCACCCCTTTCATCAAGCCTCAGCAGAAGCCTTTGAGCTCCGAAAGTCCTTTTTCAATCCAGCAACCCTCTTCATACACTCCGCCTTCGATTTCCCGGGCACAGCAGCCGCAATCTTTTCCCACCTCATCGTCACCTCCTTCGGAAACGTCTTCAAGGCATTCAACAAAGCTATGTCCTCTCCAGCACTCCAATTCACCCCACCAGTCTGTGTCTTCACTTCACCACTCTCCATGACCCCTTCAATTTCAGCCTCAACCCTCTTATCCACCGGCTTCCGAGCCTTCAAAAACCTAGCATACGAATCAGCATCACTCATTTTCCTCTCCCCCATCGACTTCGCCATCTTGATCACAGTCTCCACCCCATACCTCCCCTGAAAACCCTCCGCAATCGCCTCCCACCGCTTCGGCTTCCCCACAGGATGCTTCACCAACAACTTCTTCAACAACTCATCATCTCCTTCATTCCACTCCTCCTCTCCTCCCTCAATTACCGATTTATTGCCCACATATTGAGACGAGTGTCGAGAATTCTCCACATTTTCGGAACCTTCAACAATTGTAGGGGCTTGAATGAACCCTAAATCTTCGTTTTTACGAGCTCTGGATCGCCGATTGGGGGTTTTCTTCTTCGGATCGTCGCGATCTGGGTCGTCTGTTTGGGGAGGGGGTGGATCGAGGAGTTTTCCGAGGCCGACGCGAATGTCTCCGCCGGTGACGGAGGAGGGAGCGAGAGGGCCGAGGAGGAGAGAGAGGGCGAACCAGAAGAGGATGGATTTGAGGGGCTCGGATTGGAGGAAGAAGAGAGACAGGAAGAAGAGGAGGAGAGAGAGAGAGAAGGAGATGAAGAGAGAGGGCTTGTGGAGATCTAGGGTTTGTAGTTCGGAACTTGGAGGAGGGCGAGACCGAGATTGGAAGAGAAATCTGGGTCTGCTTTCTTCGTCCAAGAACTCCATTTTAGAGAGAGAGAGAGAGAAAGAGAAAGACGAGAGACTTGAGCCACTTATATAGGTTAGAGGGAATTGGGTTCTTTGGCTTCGAGGTGTACCATATCGTTGGAGAATATTATACAATTTTCTTTAATTTGTTAAAATTTTATTTTTTTCTAATTAATATTCACTTTGCTTGTTTTGAATTTTCTAAAAATATTTTTTAGACAATTTTATTTTTTATTTTTCATATTTTTTTATTTTTACAATTTTATTTTTTATTTTTAAACGCACATAACATAAATACACCTAAAATATATAATTTTTCTAAAAAAAAATCTTTAAAAATTAGCTAAATATCAAAAATATAAAAAAAATACGAAAATTCAATACATTTTTCATATTTTTGTATATTTATTAATTTCTTAAAATATTTTTTTACAAATATTTTATTTTTTAGATACATTTAAATAAGGTGCATTTAAAAAAATAAAAGAAATGTTTAAAATTTTAAAAATATTTACTAAAAAACAAAAAACAAAATATTCAATTTTAAAAAAATTAAATTCAGAAAAATGAAATCAAACACACTAATTATGTTTAGGCAAAAAATGGTAATGGAAAGAAGGTGGAGATAGGCGTCCGGATCCTCTAGAGTGGGATTCCCTGAAGTGATCCCTGAAGTGAGTGATCCGATGGTCCAAAATAAATCTAACCAAAACGGCGTCGTTTTGGTTAAAAATTTAAAAAAAAAAAAAAAAAACTTTAATTCAAAATTTCTGCAGATGAGATATGAAGCAATACAAAGACACAGAGAGATAGAGCGAGAAAGAAAAGGGTTGAGTTTCATATTTCCATCTCTTCACTCTCATCTTCTTTTTCTTCTTCTTCATGGCTATTTGTGTTCTTGATTTACTGGTTTCTTCAATGGGTTTTAGTTTTTTGGGGGAAAATGAAGATCTAATAAATCCATGGATCTTCATTTGGTGGGCTAGGATGACACAAAATCTAATTTTCAGGGAGTTCATGGCCATGGATGACACCAAATCCATTTTCATTTGGGTTTCTCTGCAAATCCACCTATTTTCTTCATCATCTCTCAAACCCATCAAAACTTTTGCAAAATCTCTGTTCTTGAAGCTTCTTGAAGAATAGAGATTAAAGTGAGTTTTTTGAAGAATAAAGATCCAAAAACTAGAGGACATGATTTCAAAAAATTAGATCTCTGCAAAAAAAAAAAAAAATCAATCTCTGCAAAATCTCTATTTCGTCAACAACCCAACTATAGATTCAAGAAACAATAAATAAATAGAGATTTTGAAATAGATTCAAGAAACAATAAATAAAGATTTTGCTCCAACAACCCAACTATAAATAGAGATTCTTTGAAATAAAGATTTCCTCAACTCTCTCTCCTCCTCCTTCTCGATCAAACAATAAATAAATCAATCTCTTGGACACGGGTTGTCTCTGGTTTTCCTCAACCTCTATTTGTTTTTGGAGCAAAATCTCTATTTCCTCAACTCTCTCTCCTCCTCCCTCTCGATCTGCAAACTGCAAAATCTCTGTCCTCAAAGTTTGTTTTTTTTTTTTGTTTTTGAAATTACTAACCAAAACGACGTCGTTTTGGTTAGTAATTTCAACAACCGTTGGATCACTCACTTCAGAGAATCCCACTCTAGAGGATCCTAATAGACAATTAGGCGCTTCCCACATGTTCATACTCACTGGCAACAATACTGACTACAACCCAATAAAATAAGGGAGAATTACTTAATCGTGGACTTTGAGAAAAGTTATTAACAGTCACTGATTTTTTTTGTAAAAAATATTTTTTATATAAATAAATTTTTTTTTCGTTGATCATAAAAAATATTTTCAATTAAATTTAATTTTCTGTTGTATCAAATATTAAAAAATACATTTTTTTTTTATTTTGTAAATTCTGCCTAGTTGAAAGTAAAAATTAGTTTGGTTAGTGATATTTTAATAATAAAAAAAAATTGAAAGAGTTTTTTTTTTTGGAAAACAAACCAAACATGAGTTTGTCTAAATTTACAGAATCTATTTTCTAGAAAAAAATAATCTATTTTCACGGATGAAAATATTTTTAACAGAATCTATTTTCTAGAAAAAAATAATCCTCTTTCACGGATGAAAATATTTTTAATTTTATTTTGTTAAATTAACTTTTAATTTTTTTAGTTTTGAAACAGAGATAAATTTTACATGATATGCAATAATAAATTTTTTTAAATTTTAAAATGACAAAACAACCATTACAATAATATAATAAGTGCCCTGTAATGAAAATATATATATATATATATATATATGTATCACATAACTCTGTCCCACTTTTATTTTAATTTGGCCTCATTTTCTGCATATCATTGAATGCAAGTGATTAGAAGCAAGAATGTTCATCAAGAATGGGCTTCTCTTTCCTTCAAAATGTGTAAACTATTCCCTCCAGCCATGTAGGTGGCCAGTGATCAAAACATTTTACTTGTACAAATAGTACCAATCCATACAGAGATGAAATGTTACAAGATCAAATCTAAGTCAATGGTGCTACAAAAACCAAATAGTATATCAACCAACATACCGACACACTCACATAAGTATGGGAGCCACATCCGTACCCACATGGGTCAACACACGTGTGAATGTACCGATATACCAATTGGTATCCTATCTTAATTCAATTTACAGCATGACTGAAGCTGAAATAACATTTCACGCCATGGACACTTAAATTACCAAACAAATAACATTATCAAACACAAAATCATGGCAATGAATGAAAAATATTCATCAACTTGAACTAGTATCAATACCTAATTTACACAAACAAGGCAGGGCCTCGGAGTTGGAACATGTCTCAGAAGATACTACTGTATCCATCATCATCATCATTCATTTGAATGAAACATATTATGGCTAAAACAAATACCAAATAGGAAGCAAGTTGCATTCCCAGGGCTCCCCAACCAATAATATCGGCATGTTTTAAGATAGATGGTATGGCAATGCTGCCAACAGCTGAAAACCCGGTCAAGAACTTACTCACATCCACCCAGCTGTTTCATCAGTTGTTGAAAAGTAATAAGTTAAAATGTTATTTCCATGGCCAAAGACAAATTTAAGAGGAAGGTCGAATCTTATTCATCAGTTAGTTTAGGGGGGAAAAGCCTTACCTGTTTGAAGATTCAGAAATGAAAGAGGACATATCAGAACCCGCAAAAAACAACAGAGGCATGGGAAGAAGCACATACATTATTGCTGCAGCATGACAATATTCGAAACATGATTCAGTCAGAACCTATATTATCAAACAAATAGTTTCAAAATTCTAAATTCTTATAAAATTAATTTGGAAATGACTCAGATCTGTCTCCTGATATTTTCTCTTCTGTTGTGGAGTGGTCACATGTTAGGCATTAATGCCAATAGAAGTAACGGTGGTATAACCCAGGTCACATGATCAATAGTTTTCACTTCAACCAACCATGATCTGATTGATTGACAGTTTCAATTGCACATGTAGTGTGTTCAGTCGTTTAGTTATTTCTACATATGAACAGCAAAACCAGCAAGCCAGTTATGGAAATTAGAACACCATATATTAAGAAGAGAGCAACCAACAGGATGATGAAAGTCTGAATGCATATCCATACCACTGTTTAGGGCACAGGAAAATATGTTATTGACGAAATCTTAAACAATATTCCTATATTCAAGGTGTTCTTAAAGGAGTCTATATCTATACAAAACCCACATGTTAGATTGTAGGAGCATTGTGATCGATACACCATAGTCCATCGATTTAGTTTTTTGAGGACTTAATATAATTCCTGAATTTTGTTATTGACATTAGTATATTTAATTGAATCAGGGTCGTGACATCAGCGCAAATAAATTGCTTTCTTGGAATAACTAAAATATCTCAAATTATATCGAACATTGAAAGATCTCATATTATATTAAACATTGAATTGTATGTGCAAAGATGTATGCTCATATGTATGCTTCCATGTAATTCGTGATTTGAAATGTCAACTAATATGTTGGTTACATCTAACCGATTCCTTGCAGGGTCACAGTTGAAGGACGAGAAAAATATACAATTTTGAAGTGTACTATAAGAAACCACTCCAAGGAAAGTTTTGGCTCAAGAAAATCTCTTGTCCCCGTACCTGTTAGCAATGGCCACCAATTATCGTACAAAGCGCATGCCTGTCCCACCATGCAAGTAAACATAAGGACATGCCACATAATTGCTTATGATTAATCCAGAGACAACTAATAGTCAATAAAATATAACTAACCAAAACTTGCAACACAATCCCTCCAGAAACCAAAATTGCCAAGAAAAAGAGTTTCCCAGTTTGTAAGCAGGTTCTCAAATAACCTGGCATGTCTGCCATAATTGAACTTGCCTCAACTCATAGAGGGAAAGACTGAAATCAAGAGATATTTTTGTGTTAAATATATAACAAGAACAAAAAGGTGGGGAGAAGATTAAAAGAAAAAGACAATCTTGAAATAATATAGAAAGCACGTAAGAGAAAAGCTCCTGCAAAATAGATCACAACATCAAAAAAGTTATATCACAATGTCTGATAATTTCAAAGAAAGTAAATTTCATTAACCCGGATGGGTAGCCCAATGGTTTAGTGCGAGCCATGGGACGATCCATAAACTTTGACGTCCTAGGTTTGACTCTTCTAGTACCTCAATGTCTGGTGATTATAGGGAAAATAAATTTCTTTAACCCATGTGGGTAGCCTAGTGGTCATGAGAGAGCCCTTGGATGAGTCATAAACACAGACATTCTCGGTTCAACTCTTCATGCTGTTGCATCCAGTCTCACCAAGTAAATGGGTTCTTTGGGATTTGTGCATCTAGGGTTCACCCATCCCATACATTGGAATTCCACCTGTCAAATCTTTCAGGTCGTATTTCACACAGTAACACAGTTAGTCCTAGGTCCATATAACATGATATTAGATAGAGCTCAAATGCAAGAGAAGGGGATCAACGATGAATTTATTAAAGCAGTATTACTTAGTTGGACGAGGCTTGTTATTGTCAGACTCCCAGTATGGAATTGTGGAATAGCCCTGATTCAAACTTCTAAATGGTATAAAAAAACACAGAGCAGTGAGTTTGGGTGTCATTATGTTATATAAGAAAAAAAATTAAGCCAAACGAATATGCTATAGAATTTCAAAAATAATATTGCCATAATCGCATGAGGGGTAACAGAAAGAATATAAATGGACATATGCTTCCTGTTTTAGAGAAACATTGTGCTAGGATGATTGGTGAATTAAAAGAAAGGCAGCAGTGTTTCAAGGTGCAACAACTTGAATTTAAATGTTGACAGGGAAGTATTCATAGAGCCACACGATGCTGGACTTAATCAAGCACAAAACTGACAAGAAGTTATGATTAACATCCACTTTTCAACAACTAAACTTGCTTTGTCGATCCCCATCATTTCAAAGTTCTTCACTACCAGATCTAGTGCATAATATAAGCAATATAGAGTTGCAAATGAATCTACATTTCCCAATTCATTGTGGATTAGCACACCAAACTGAAATTACTCAGTTTTTTCACATAGAGATCAATTTAAACTTTGTGATCTACTCCTAAATCCTAATAGGCACCATTGCACCAACTCCGAAATTCACGGGGCTAAAACTCAAATCATCATGCCTTTATACCAATTACTTGGGTTGGGTCAGCTATTTCACAAATTAATTATATATATATATTTTGATAAGTTCACAAATTAATTATATTTGCAGTCATAACCTCATTTAAATTTATTATAAGGGTTAATTTCACATTTCTCCCCTAAACTATCATCATTTTTTCTATTTTATCTTTAAACTATCAATTTCATCCATTTAGTTTAGTCCCTCCAATTTTTTTATTTGAGTTCATGTGGTACAAATCAGCTAATTTTATTGGCAAAAATGTATCTTAGAATTTGAATAACTTAAACTATTAGCATAGTTATTTTTGTTCTATTGTTCAACTGTTCATATCTACGTAAGTTGAGGGTATGATGCTCATATTGCATTGTTAGGGTTTGTATATATATTGCGGATGTAGAGTTGAGATAACAATATATGCAAATATATAAAACTTCTTTCTCTTCTCTCATCTTCTTCTTCCTTCTTCTAAACCCTAACCCGGAATCTCTTCATTTTACCTTCTAACTTGGTATCAGAGCAATCCATTCATCGTTAGTAAGTATTCTACAGCCTCCGGAGGTTGAGTTGAGGTGACCGAGACGTGTTGATGTCATCAGTCGTACGATGACAACAGCATGACGTAGGCACCGTATGGACAGGATCTTCACCCCTAAGCTCGAAATGGTCTCCTGAGAATTATGGTGATTTTTGTAGAATTTTTTGATCATCTCTGATATGAGTTTTCTATTTTCAAATATTTTTCGTGATTTTTTTGTACGTTTTTTGAATCTAGATTTGGGGATTGTTTTTGCTGGTTCTTCTTGGTACAATCCCTTCTGCAGGACGATTGGGACTATTCTAGTGTCCTTTGCTGTTAATTTGTGGTTTATTGCTGATTGGGTTGAGTTTTTTGGTCGTTTTGTTTGTCTCTCTGATTCATTTCAGTACAACAGGGCTGTTTTCTTATTTCTATCTATTGGGATTGACTATATATGGGCCGAAAATTGTATAGCACTGCATATTTGGTCTTAAGTTGTTGATTCATGTTGGTGGTTTCTTGTTTTGGTTCACTTTCAGTCGGAATTTGTTACATATTTGGCTTGTTGATTTGTTTTTGTTATTTTGGTTCAATTTGGGTCTGAATCTGTTACCTATATTGATTGTTGTGGGTGTTGGTTGTTGTAGGTAGTGAATATCTTCAAATAATTTGCTACATTCATGCTCGTTTGTTGAAAATTGTGTGTGATTGATCGTCATGGCCGAGATTGAGGCTAAGGCTATGGATGTGGGTAGAGATGATGACATGCCTAAATCTATCACCACAAAGAAATTGAATGGTACCAATTATTTGACTTAGGCCCATGCTATCAAAATTTTCTTACATGGAAAGAAGAAGTCCCCCTTCCTTAGTGAACTCCCATTTGCTACTAATGATAAAGTTTATGATGATTGGTGTAGTGAGGACTCCTGTGTTTGGATTCGGCATAGTCTGAAACCACAAGTTGCAACTACTGTGGAATTTTGTGATATCTTGAAGGAAATTTGGGACTCCTTTATTGAATCTTTTTCGAATCAAAGTAATTTCTCTCGGGTTTATGAGTTATATTAGCAGATTTTTGCTACGCGCCAATCTGGCCGGTTCCTTCCTGAGTATTATACTAGCCTCAAGACTTTTGGGATCAGTTATTGCAGCATCGACCCTTCACTGCTGATGTGAACAAACAAAAACAATATTGGGAGGAGTTTATGATGGCTTATTTACTCTCTGGTTTAGATCCTGAATTGCGGGAGTTCAAGGATCAGATTCTTGCCAGTGAGACTCTCCCTTCTGTTGTTAATGTCTATTCTCGGTTGTTACATTCTTCCTTGGGTCAAGCACAACCTACCACTGGGTCCTCTCCTTTGTCATCTTCTACAATGGCCTCTAGTAGTGGAGATCGTGGGCCTACTCGAGGGGATTTTCATAACCCATCTAGCACTCGGGGCTCTTTTTATAGATCACGAGATTCTCGTGCAGGTGGTTCCTGTGGTGGTGCATCTCATGGTGGTGGTTCCCGTGGTAGGGGTAGTAGTGGCCCTAGCTCTTGCACACGTGGTGATCGCAAGTGTACTCATTGTGGTTCCCAAGGTCATACTGAACCTTGATGTTAGCAAAAGTATAGCAAACCTGACCATGTGCATCAAGTTATGGATGCTCTATCCTCACAGTCCTCCTTGTTTTCCACTAGTTATGTTGCTTCTCCAGTCAATTCTCACGAGACACTCACTACTCATATTAGTGAGCCTACTGCTCTTGTCCAGTCTCTCTGGCCTAGTAAACCTGCATCCTATATCGCTACTCTGACTAGTTCAGGTAATATTGCATGTATGGCTAAGTCTACTTAGCCTTAGCTCCTAGACTCTGGTGCTAGTTCCCATACCTTTGGTAATTCCTCTCTTTTTGATAATTCGAGGCCTGTTGATGATACTATTATACTTGCTAATGGATCTTCTTAACATGTTAGTGGTCAAGGTCCTCTTCACCCTACTCCATCTCTTTCCTTAAACTTTGGTCTCTATATTTCCTAAGTTTCCATTTAATTTGCTTTCTATTAGCCAATTAACTCAAGCTCTCCATTATTCTGTAACCTTTTCACTCACTTCATGTGTTTTGCAGGACCTCCAGACTAAGAGGATGATTGGTTCGGGACATGAGAATGATGGCTTACACTTTTTGGACACTGCGCTACCTCCTTATCCTCCATCTACTGTGTTGAGTGCTACTGTATCTCCTTTTCAGTGGCACTTCCACTTGGGTCATCCCTCTTTGGCCAAGCTTAAGTTAGTTGTTCCTGGTTTGAGTCATGTTTCTTAGATTGAGTGTAAAGCCTGTCAATTTGGAAAGCATCACCGTAATTCTTTTCCTAGTATGAGTGTTAGTCGTACACCTAAGCCTTTTGCTCTTATCCATACAGATATCTAGGGTCCTTCTAGAATATCCACTGTTAATAGTTTTATTTATTTTGTTATTTTTGTGGATGATTACTCTCGGATGACTTGGTTGTTTTTAATGGAACAGCAATCTGATTTTACCTACTAACTTGGTATCATATAATTTTCTTACTATTTTCAACCCTACAACCAATTTGATGGGTGTTTGGTAGTATGATTTAAGTTGTTCAAATTGTCAAATTATTTTTTGCACATCAATTTTGGCTTCTGCAATCATAATCAATTGGCCCACGTGAACTAAAATCAAGAACTTTATGGACTAAAAAGATCAAACTAACAGATTAGAGATGAAATATTAAAAAAAATAATAATAATTTAGGGGATAAAAGTAAATCAATCCTTACAATCATTTATTTTTCCGTCAATCCGAGATCACAAAAGTTATTTTCCAAAAACCTTCCACAGTAGAAGTTACCAAAATTCAGCATCATCATCAGTATATATGAATTCATTAGCTATACATACAGAGCGTTCTATATCTATACATACATCTATATAATCGTATGCTTAATATTGAACATGAAGATATGAATGAATGCTGATTTCGATGAATTCATACCGGATAAGAAGAACCGTGAAGTAGAAGCGATGCGTTTGAAATCCTAGGGTTTAGGCTTCAATGGGGGAGAATATGAATCCAGTGGTCACTTCCACCAGACCGTTCTCGTTCTTTTCGGTACAACTGCAAAATTAGGTGCACCGACCTTGCACGTAATTATATTATGTCATGGTACAATTAAAATTATATTATATAACATTCTCGTCCTAGCCTCCTTGCAATTTTGAAAAAATATAATAATTATTATAAGTGCATGTTTGGATACACTTAAAAAAGATAAAAATTCAAAAAATTATTATAAAAGTCAAAAAATAATCACTGTACGGGGAGGAAATAATTCTCCTCGTATAATCCTGTTGACCAAGTCCACGCTCCTCCGTACGACGTCGCTTTATCACCTGAAAACACAAACGTGAGCTAGCCGGCGGGTGTGTGCCGGAAACCTCTCCGATGCCTAAGTCAGTAAGCTTGACAAATAGACAAAGTTTTATGCTCTCAAAAAGAATTGTGTTCAATTACCTCCTCCAAGGTGGTGCTTGTGAGCTTTTATAGGTTTCGAGTGGCATAATCCTAGTAGGACTTTTATTTCTCCATACAGAGTCCTCCTAGGATTCATACTCCTGAGGATAATGCTTATCCTTTTACACCCTCCCCCACTGCTTAAACCAAGTGGGATGGTTTCCTCCAAGGCCGAACTACCATTTAACCGAAATAAAAACTGGCTATGTAGAGCTACAGAGATGGCCGAACTATCCTTAGCTCGGATTTCTCCTCCAACTCCTTATCTCGGCTCTCCCCTGTTCAACCATGGTGTGTTTAGATCAATCTTCCAAGTAGCAAGTTCTGACCGACCTAACCATAATATGTCACGACCGGACTAAATGCAAGGCCGGACTCACTTCAAACTGCCACCGGACCGGAGTTGCTTTACACATTCTTGAACCGGAGTAACCACACCTCTCCTGGGCCGGAATAACTTCACTTCTCCTGGCCGGAGTATCTATACCTCTACTGGGCCGAAATAACACTATGGCTTCTTATCGATTCTTTCACACTTTGGGCCGTATGGCCCAACTCACAGCTCGACCCAATTTTGCTTTGGCACGTGCGCCATCCTCGCGGATATATATAAACAAATTAGCCAAAAAAAAAAATATAAATTAACTGTCAACTTCGTATCATTGTAGAGACACGATACAGTGTGAAGTGATGGAACCAAGTACACAGTGGGTGCACAAAACATTTACACAAGATAGTGTTGTTCGGCATATGAAGGCCTACTATGAGTCTTGTTTTGATAATCGAAATCTTTTAATATGTATAACTCGTCGAGTACTATATGTCTGTAACAAATCACATTGATCAGATATCGATAACTGTATGATAAATCAGTTTTGATAAAAAAATGAACGGTGAACAAATTAACGGTTGACATAAAATTAATCCGATCAGATAGCTATCGATATTCGATGAATGTAATTTTTTACAAATATATATTACTCGACGAGTTCTATATATTAAACGGTTCCGATTATTAAAATGAAACCCATGATAGCCCCCTACGAACCGAACAGCACCGTCCAATCCGAGAGGAAAGTTGCTCCAACACATCTTCTACACATTGCACCCCACCTTGCTGGCTTCCCGTACAAATCAGTTTCAGCACTCATTTAGATATATTAGGGGTAATATGATAATTTCATTATTTTATACAATATTTTAATACACATTTTTTTCGTAAAACTTAAAAAAAGTTATCCCAAACAATCATATTTTTTTCTTTTACTTTTTTATCTAAAAAAAAAAAGTTGCACTTATATTGTTCATCCCAAACAACCCCTTAACCTAATTATATTATATTATGATAAATTTTTAATTCATGTGACACTTATATTTTTTTATTTATAGTAATTTGTTACTTATATATGTCAGTTTTTTATATATAAATATATTATTTTTGTTTTCTTTATTGCTGTAGTCAAAGTAATTTATTCTAAAATATATATAGCAATATTATCAATCTCGTATAGTATCAGTCAGTGCGTCCTGTTTTAGAAGCAAAATGGTAATTACATAGTTCAATTTCCTAAAATATTGGCCAATACCAGGCAATATCGGCTAATACCGATCGGAAAACATAATACTGGGTAAATACCAGACAATATCGGCATTTTTTTGTAATGGTTTGTAATATTAAAATGATAGAAACTTGTCTTTCATACTCTCTTTGAACTATATTAATTTGTGTTATTTAACAGACATTTTTAAGCCTCTTATACATATAAATTTGTGATTCATGATATGTATTATTAAATTATTTATTACTAAACAATATTTTTAATACTTATATAATATTTTTGCAATAAATCCAAAATGGTATTTGGTAACATATATATCGGAACTGGTAAGTACCACACCAATGGAAAAAAAGGGTACCTAATTTGATACGGTATTAATAACTTTGATTTATATAAATAATTTATTTTCATATTTTTTAAAAAATAAAACAAGATTTAGAATACTTTACAATGTTGCAAACATAATTAAAACCTTGATAATCAAGTGCAAAAAAATGTGGAATTATTAATTTTTAAAGATAAAATTGCCATTTATTTTTTTCTATTATTTATTATTTCTCCAATCACCCGTTACTTAGTTGTTATATCGTTTTTCACCATCTCCTTCATTAATATTCTTATTATTTTCCCTTTATGGCTCTCACTTTCACAAATCCCTTTATTATTTTCTCTCTATCACTACCACTACTGTTATCCTTTCTATCATTTTTCATCATTCCCCCCACAACACTTGTAGCCTTCATACCTTGATCAAAATCCTCATCCACCCAAACCATGATTTTTCTAGAAAATTGTTTAGAAGCAGCGTGTTGGTGAGGGTAGGCACTAGAGGTGCAAAAAAATGAGGAAAGAGTACAGGTATAATGAATGAAGGCTTCGAAGATGTTGTCTTACGACACACGATAATGAAATAGCTAATGAAACGATAATAGATGCTGATAATGGCGCTGTTTGGGAAAAACAAACTGAGGCTATTGTAGCCTCAATTATGAAATAAGCCAAAAAGCATGAACAGTGCACGCGTGGGTACAACTGGGTTACAAACAAAGGTGGAATAACCATTTTACCCTTTGACTATTTCAAAGGGTAAGGGTTATACACAACTAAAACAAAAGGAACTCTGCCTTATTCTCATCTCTTCTGTTCCGTCTCTCACAACCGACTGTAGCAAATTTTGAAAAAAAATACTTGAAAAAAAAAATTTTGAAAACAAAATAGTTGGAAAAAAAAAATTACTTGAAAAAAAAAATTACTTGAAAAAAAGAATTTGAAAACAAAATAGTTGGGAAAAAAAATTACTTGAAAAAAAAAATGAAAACAAAATAGTTGGAAAACAAAAATTGAAAACAAATTATTGGAAAAAAAAATCAAACAAATGTAATGGACACGCAATTTATTTGAAAAAAAAAAGTAATTGAAAAAAAAATTATTTGAAAAAAAAATTAATTGACAACAAAATAATTGAAGAAAATTACATATTTGAAATAAAAAATCATTATAAACTGATGATTATTAATAATTTATAAATTTTAAAAAAATTATAAATTATATTAATGGGTCAGATTTAACAAATCGCTGAGGGTTTGTTCATATATGTAATTAATTGTGTATAAGTTTTACGTTGTTTTTTTTTTTTTTTTTTAAAAAAATATAAATTATATTAATGGGTCAGGTTTAACAAATGGCTGAAGGTTTGTTAATATATGTAATTAATTGTGCATTTTTTTTTGTGTACATGTTAAAAATTGGGATTTTTATTGATAAATCCATTTTAGAGTTGTTATAACCCATTAAGTCCACAAATGAATATTATAACCTGATTAGTCCCATATACCTTTCTTTTTATTCCATAAAGTCTATTTTTCTAATTTTATATTTTTACATGGACTATTATGCCCTTATATATATATACACTGTGTTAATACATGACACGTTCTTGTGATTTCGTGATTCAGTTTTGGCAATTTTTATCATTCTAATTCAAATGGATATGTTTCTATCTTGCATGTTATCGTTCTATCGTTCTGACGCTTTGATGTGCTAGGGTTTCATTGTTGCTTTGGTTCGGTGATTTTCAAGTGAAGATGACGAATTTCATATTGTTCGGTTCTCACATTTTCTGGAGTATAACTACTTCAAAGCGGTTGTTTTTGAGTTTCTGGGCAATTGTAGGATTGCATGATTAAGGTTAGTATCATTTTGGTTATGAATACATGTTCACTTTATGTTTTGATTTCTAGGATGGATCAGATGCTCTGTTTTTTTATTGCTATGGATCGGATGCTCTGGTTTTTCAATTACATGCATCAGACGTGGTACTGTGGAGGGGAGGTCATTCAGATTATGTGAAGAATGTTATAATATTCCTTTTACTTTGATGTATCCATAATGAGACTCTGTGTGAGTGATATAATTCAGAGTTTATGAATCAATGTGAATGTTTACATCGTGGTCATAAGGAGGGGAGGTCATCAGATTAGTGTTGAATGTAGATCTGCTATAATTCAGAGTTTGTGGAACAATGTGAATGTTTACATCATGTTAGTGTTACGTGAAGAATGTGGATGTTTGCATTTTACTTTGATGTTTGCGTAATGAGGTTCTGTGTGAGTGATATAATTCAGAGTATATGTGGCAATGTAAATGTTTACATCGCGGTAATATTATGTGAATAATGTGGATGTTCTCACTTTACTTTGATGTTTGATTAATGAGGCTTTGTGTGGATGATATAATTCAGAGTATATGTATCAATGTGAATATTCACATCTTGTTAATGTGAATTATGGATGTAACACTTGAACTGTACACGTATTCATCTAATTTTTGCACAATGTGAATTTTCATATCGGTTTGGATTATTGTTGATTGTTGTGTTGTTGTGTTTTTACAGGAGATGGATACCTTTATGATGTTGGTGTGTACATATAGTTGCAGTACCACTGTAATAAATGCTGCCCGCGCATTGTGCTATTCGTGTTTGGTAGACTGTTTGTGTGAATAATGGAGGGAGTTGTCTGCTGGTTCTATTTCATTGTTCTGTCGATTACTTGGGATTAGTAGATGTGATTTGGACAATGAGG